ATTACATTGGCAATACAATTGTGATGCTAAAATCAATATTGATCCCTGAAATTTTTGGTAATACCAATGTTCACTTTGTCTGGTTTTGTTGAAGTATGCCCCAATTGTAGAATTTCAATTGGGTTTTTTTAATATAATCTTCATGTTTTTTAATAAAATAATTCATTGTATATTCATAAAGTGACTCAAGATCAAGCTCACCAGCTGCATTTAATATTTCTATACATCAACTCCAGTAAAATTGTCTAATTCAATCTTACATGTATACAAAAATCTTTTGAAAAGAAATAATAATAATTATATATTCAATAAATTAATAATTAATATAATAATAGTTTAGTATAAACTTTAGAATATTTTTGAAAATATTGGCTTTTTTAACAATATAATAACCATTTTCTTTTGTTGAATTACTTAATGCAATGCTGAAAAATGGACAATGAGCACATATGATGGATGCATGTGCATGAAATTCCTTTATGTTTGGCTCTACACCCACATATAAAAATCTTCTGTATTTAATAATTTTTTTTTTTGAATTGTAAAATGAATGGCCAATCAAAATTCACACATAAATCGTGTTTCAAGAAAAAAAAAAAGGAAAAATGATTGGATAAGTTTGTTTGCATGATAATCAATGTTTATACTATATGTTTGTTTGCCTCTTAAAAATGGTTGATGCGAAATTGGAAGCATAGTGTAGGTATGTCATTGTTAAATAAATGAACTTTATGATGTTTTGCTATCAAAATAAATATTGAAATTACTGTTTAGGCCGTACACTGTACAAGTTTCCATCTAATTCTTTCAAACATTAATTATCGATTATTATTGATTCAATATTCCATTCATTTATTAATTCACCAACTTTTTTATTAAGATTTAGCTTTTTAATTGTGCGCATACACAAATCATAATATAAATTACTGACTTCGACTCCACAAAATCATAATATTTTTTCCCGCCTTTGCTACTCCAGACAACGAATGCTTCCTTGCATATTCATCGAAATATTCAGTTCCGTGTGGTAAATTAAAGCATTTCTATCAGTCAATATCATATAAATATTTTAATTATGATAAAATAAACTGGCAATATAATAAATTTTTAGAAGCTTATTCATTGGATTTGTCAACTCTATTCGTTACTAATTGAATATATGCAAATTTAAATTTATTAATTCCTGTAAAAGAAAAAAGAATTGTTTTTCTGAGACATTAAGTTTCACAATGATGACATACAATGTTGATCCAATCAGATTTACAAGTTATTATTAAATTTACAATTTAAATAGCACTTGATCAAATAATTGGCATTAATACTTTATATTTTACAAGTGTCCTCCTCCTCCTTGTCATCATCATCATCATCATTATTATCATCATTATCATCTCCACTACTACTACTATTTTCTCCACCTTCTTCCGAATTATCATCTTCATCTTGATTACCTGAATCATCATTTTCATCATTTTCAACATTATAACCATTTTCATCATTCTCATCTTCATCTTCATTGTTACTATCGTCAGATTTGTCAGATTCTTCATCACTGTTATTACTATCACCACTTGCATCTTCAGAATTTAATTTGGCATTATGTCTACTTAAATTTCGTCTTATTTTTTCAGATTTTTGAAGCGCAGCTTCTAAACTATATGTTTGAGGAATGATCTCTAATTTTTTTTAAAAAATAGAAATCGCTTAAATAATATGATATAAATACAAACATATATGAATATACTTGAATGTTATTTATTTACCTTTTAAAAATTTCAGATTATCAACTTCTTTGACAATATTGGCTTAAAATTATGAAAAAATATATTATTTTTTTTTTTAAATGATAAAAAATAATAATAGTAAATCAAAATAATTTATTTTACCTAAATCCTTATATTGAATTGTTTTTCTTTTTTCATTTTTAGTTTTATTATAACTACTACTAACTAAATATTCTACAAAAATTTCCTACAAAAAAATAAATAGATAAATAAAAATAACTCTTTAACATGTTTATAATTATATAAAAAATTATATTTTATTTCAATTATATAGACCTCTTTATACTGTGTCTGATATTAAAAAAAACATGTAATAAAAAAATATTTACTGAAGCAAGACCAATTAAAAAGGTAGATTCAGGTCCACAACCTAAGACTTCAGGTTCTTCTTTAATGATTCGTTTGACTCTAGTTAAAGGTAATAGTGTTGTGCCTGTAGCAGTTACTGCTGTTCTTTTATTACTTGAAGATCCTGAAATGTTCGTTTTGCCAGCCATAATATTTTATTAATAATTTACGCGTCTTTTTTTTTCCTTAAGATAATAAATGTTTACAGAAAATTGAGAAAATTAGTAATTCAAGTTTTTGTGATAGATTAATTATAATTTTTAAAAATTCATATTTTATTTTTTATTTATGTAACAATCCTAATTTAGATTTAGCAACATCAAATCGCATTGATTTTTGGTTACGCGTGTAACAATTATTCATATGAAAAGAATAAAAAAATAAAATTCGTTCCAATTTCAGAAAACTTGACCAGGATAAAATTTATGGTAAAATACAAGGGTATATTTTGGTTAGCAAGTAAGTATTATCAACCTAATATTACTATATATATATAATAAGGTGCTGCATTGGTTGATGCTATAAGACTCTCTACAGAGTTCATGACAAAATCAAAAACAAGATCTATTTATGGAAATGGCCATTAGGACTTGGCAAAGGCTATGGATTTTATTATGGTCATCACAAATCAAGATAATCTGAGGGTGATTGAACAAATGATAATGGAAAACTATATGATTGATAAATTTATTTCACATATTATGTATGGTATTGACGATTAATTAGGTTAATCATTATCTTTCAGATCAATTATTGGTGATTGTTAATTCATTGATTTCAAGGAATGGATATTTTGAAACACTAAATTTTGCCGAAAAATTAAAAACTGGAATAAAATAGGTTATCCAGAATTAGATAATAAGCCGTCAGTCGATGCAGGCATAACTGTTGCAATGATATTGACACACAAATCAGCATTATACATTTGGGAGACAATAAAAATTTGGCAGTAAATAGGTGGTTGATGACAACTGCTCTATTGAGAATTCCATATTTTTGAGAGCCATTAAACAAACATCACAAGCAACAAAAGTAACTCATGCTGATCCTAGATCTTGTGTTAGCAATGTTATTGTTCCCAGTTTAATTGCTAAAATTTTGAAGAAAATCAAAAGAAAATTATTGATTTTATGAATTCTGGTAAATATTCTGATACTGAATCTAATAAATTAATTTCAAACGTAAAAGATTCATTGACCAAATAATCAATAAAACATTGGAAAGAAAAGCTCAATTACAACCACTTTGACTGAATCGTGAAAAACGTCATAATCATAATTCAAAGTTTCAAAATGTAGACACTTCAAATTTAAAAAATCATTCAAACCTACGAGGAAATTCTAGCTTAACATTAATGATAAAATCGATAGTTGATCGTTGCTCGAAAATAATGAAGTCGATGGTGATGATGATTCTTCCAATCGATTAGTGAAATTGAGCCAAGAAACTTTGTTTGAATATTGCTTTCCAAAATCACTTGAATCTTTAAAGATATAGACGAGGCCTCATCAATTGAATATGTTTACAAATATTTAGGTAGCTCATTCATTTGGAAATATAATTAACAACAACAACAACAACAATAACAACATTAAGTATAATCAAAATCAACTATTCATACTGATATTTAAAATGATGCAGAATTTTTTAATACTTTTGCTAATTGTATTATCACAATTAAACGATTTACTAAAACAAAACAAAGAAACCTTTGAGTTGAAAATTAATCAATTATCAAATATATTAACGGAAAAACCTTGTGGGGGGCTTAAATTTCAGGACGTTTTGGGAGGCTATGAAATTTTATTGAAATTGATGGACAATATTCCTTTTGGAAAGACCGTGAAGTCTCTCTAACGAAAGAGAATTATCATAATGAGGTATTTTCATACCAAGGTCGCCTTGAAAGAATAGTTCCATTAAATATGACACCTAAGCTCGATATGTTAGTTTATAGCCGCAGAAAGCATTCAAAGAACTTGATAACATGTAATTATTATATAGAGACCTGGGCAGACTTGCATTCTTGTGCGAAAATTGTTTCATTTTACGTAGTCTTGGTAATAATATTATTAATTTGGTGATGTAATTGTATTATTTTTCGGGAAGATTAGATCAGGCTGAAAATGAAGGTGAAGCATTGCGAAACATTGGTTTTAAGAGCTAGGTTTATACTAAATAATAATAAATCATTTGCTAATATAATATTAATATATATATATATATATATTTATTTATATATATATATATATATTCAATTATTCATCTATAATATTATTATTTTTATAATGATGCTGATACAAACGGTGTAGTTGCAGGAACATTGTTTGGTACAAGAATTGGTTATTAAAGATTGGTTAGGTGGATTAGAAAATAGAACAACAACAAACAATAGTAATAGAGATAAATATTTAATTAATTAGAAACTAGAAGATTTTATTTTCCAATTTATTTATTACTTATTAATTATTATTCAATAGCAATGAAAAGTACTTTAATAGAAGCTTATTGAAACATCTGTACAATTATACAATGAAATTTTTTTTAAATATATCATCACTTAACCATCTGAATAACTGATTGATAACACATAAAAAAAAGTCATATATATGTGTGAGTATAGTTTTTAGTAAATGCGTGTGTATGTATATAAATGTAATAATAATATATTTATGAATGTAATAATTTATTCTAAATATTTTTTTAAGAATTCAATAAATTATTTTTATTAAAGAAAAAAAAAATTTTTTTAATGAAACAAAATTTATATATAATAAATAATAATAATAATAATAATAATAATAATAATAATAATAATAATTACTTATATTAGAGTTACTTTTACTTTTTTTGCCTTCTTTAAATTAATTACTCGCTTTTAACATTTTCATAAACTGCACCTATTATCTTTAATCCTTCAGCACGTTTAACTAAAATTTCCTTTGGTATAGCAGGATCAGACAAAACACGATCACACACTTCCCGTAATACACTTTCAACTTCAAGTTTAGACCCTTTCCATAAAGCAGTTAAACCCTTAAAAAAAATATGCAATTAAAATTAAAATTTAACGTAATTCAAAATCAAAACAAATCAAAATAGTCAAGTTGAGTACTATTCTCTCACCTTATTTGCAGCTGCTTCTTCCAATTTATTTTTTTCCTGGGCACCTACACCTGCTTCTTCTGCCTTTTGTAATTGGCTAAAGGATTGTTGTAAATCTAAGGCAGATTTTAATGTCGAAATAGTTTCTGAAAATACATGACCTTTTTCTCTTAGAATATGACCAAGTCTTGGTAAACCAAGAATTTGTTCACCAGCCAAATATTGTTTTGCCTTAAGTGAATAGGTGAATCCGATTGCATGTAAAAGTTCCACGCCATATGATTCAGTTTTTAATTCTTCTGCCTCATACTCGACTCTTTCCTTGAATGCCTTTGGATCCAACCCAATCTTACCATTTTCACCCACGTATGTTGCTAATTTTTCTATTAGATTTGAAACTAATTTTCCAATGCGTTGTTGTCTAATCTTTTCTCGTTCATCATCTAGGGCATGCGAGTTGGCCGTGGAATTGGAACTTTCTCGTCGTGATTTCTCCTCCTCTGTAAGTTCTTCATTTGGTACATCGTCTGTGGCTGCATTCTGTAAAACTTCTTTCATATCACGACCAATTGATATCTCTCCAATTATATCAACAAACCTTTCTCCACCAAATTGCTGTCTAAAGAAATCTTCCGGATTAACTACATTGGATTGTATTTATTATTATTAAAAAAATTTTTTTAATTATTTAATGTTAAAAAAGATTTTTTTTTAAATCATAAATTAAAATGTATTATTGATCTTACCAAAACCGCCTTCTGGCATAACTTCAGTATTTCTTCCGTATTCATTATATCTTTCTCTTAATTTTGGGTCTGATAAAACTTGGTATGCATCAGAAATTTTTTTGAACTATTGATATAGTTTTTTTTTTTCAAAAAAAAAAAAATAATATAATGATAATAATAAATTTAATCAGTAATCATTCATTCATTCATTCATTCATTCATTAAATTGATCAAAAATATAATATAATATAGAATATTAATTATACTCGTTGTTCTGCATCATCTGATTTATTTTTATCGGGGTGAAATTGTAATGCTAATTTGTAATATTGTTTTTTGATCTCGTTGCTTGATGCTGTTGGACTAACACCAAGTATATCATAAAGTTCAGTTTCTAATGGTTCTTTCGCTATAAAAATAAATAGGTGAAGAGTGAGTTAATCAAAATTCATACTATTATTATTAATTTCATTTATTTACATAGTCGTAAACAAAATTAGAGAGTGAGAATTCTTCTTTTAAACCTGTTCCATATACTCTTTTTGACTTCTTAGAGCCATTAGAATTTGGACTGTTGTTATTAGTAGTAGCATTACTATTATTAATAGGAGTTTCCTGTGAGAACTGAGAAATTTTTTGACAAGAATGACATTTAACGGAGTATTGAGGTGAAGCATTTGTAAAGGAAGTTGGTGTTTGAAATTCCAGCTCAGTAGAACAGTGACTACACCGCTTATGAACGTATTCTGGTTTACGAGAATTGATAACAGGAGAGCCCATGAGTATGAAGTTGTGTGTGTGTGTACGTAGGCGGAAAAAAAATTATTAAAATTTTATGATATCACATGTGATTTCAAAAAAATTATAACGAATTGAACGAATTGGATCAACATGATTTCTTAAATATGAACCAATAAACGTTCTGTGGTATTTCAAATCAAAATCTAATGCTTGTCCATAGTGATAATAATTATGCTGTTGTCCCATTTCTCGATGAAATCATTAGTAGATTAGCAAACAATCTCTGAAGCCTTTGACATTTTCTTTGGCAATTTTACTTGATATTTAATACTCGGAGTTTCAAGATTTAAAATATCCTTTGTCCGAAAAAAGGTTAATTACTAATATATTAATACAATGGAAATTTCAAAGAATGGCCGATGGGCTGTGAATCTTCGTTTTTGAAGAACCGGTTAAAGTTCCGATGCTTTTCGTCCCAACGAGCCACGAAGGGTACCGAATAGACGTTTGAATAAGCGTAGAATGGATAATTAAACCTGACAACCTAAGTTTATTTTTATTTTTTTTGGAGGAGTTCAATTATATACAATCGGGGATGAGAAGCATTTGTAGCAGTTTCACATGAATCCAACACATTCCTAGTCAACTTTTCTAACTGCCTCACTATTTATTGATTGAAAAAGGTTAGTGTTAGCAAATGGTGGGCATAAGTGTTATCGATGAGATTTAGGAAAATCCGTTGCATTAGCGGTACCACAATTAGAATCATCACATCACATTTGCTTTCAAGAATTCATTTTCTTTCGACATATAGTAAACAGAACCAATCTCCCGCTAAATCCTAGCTAATTTGAATTATAATTCTGTTTGAAGTGTTTATATAATTTTTCTATTTTTGCAATTTTGTGATCAGTGATTTCTTAACTTTTGCTGTCAGATGTGAGTTATTTATGACCATCATTTTTTCAAGGACATCTATAAAATTATTATAAGTCTTGCCCAGAAATACACAAATTAGATATATAGCATTTATAAATAACGGCGATAAAGTGATTTAATCAATACTTGAATTTAATTAAACAACTAGTATCAGAAAATCTCTTGGGAAAATTAATTGAAAATACACGTCACTCCCGTTATAAGGACAGCTCATTATAGTGGCAATCTCGTTATAGTGACATTTTTTCAAAAAAACACACTTTATAAATATAAATTTACTCCCGTTATAATGACATTCATTATGTATCCCGTTATAAGAGTATAAGGACATAATTGGGCAAAAAATTTTTTTATAATTATAATTATAAAATTTATCCAGTTATAGTGACATCCGTTATAAGGACATGTCAGTACAACGAGAGAACCAATCAAATCACTCAAACCACTATGACAAAATTAGATAACAATAAATTCATTTTTTAATGTTTTAATATTACTAATACTAAACACATTAAACACAAATCACTTACATCAAGTTTATTATTATTAACACTAAAATTAACAATAATCAAATTCGCAAATTGTTTTGGTGGTGACAAAGTATCTATTATTTTCAAGAATGGGTTTGTGAATTGTATATAACAAAGTATCTTTACGTTTTGATTGAAAATTAATAATTTTCTAAATTTAATCATTTTTCAAGTCATGTGATATTAGATTATAAGAACACCTCGTTATACAAACATTTTTTGCTTGTCCCATGAGTGTCCTTATAACGGGAGTGACCTGTGGTTTGTTTTATAGTATATGCCCGGTGTTGCCATTTGATTTTTTAATATTGTGAATAAAAAAAAATTTTTTAATTTTTATGTTTATAACTCAAATACATTCATTATCAAGATATATTTTATAGAAAACTCGTCATGCAACAGCATAGATCAAGTCGTTAAATCACGTATTTAAAAATTTTGTTTATTAAAAATATAGTGTGAAAATATTTTCCTTCTGCTTGATTATAAATTCTCCATATTATAAATAACCAATTTCCTAATATTATCTCATGTTTGTAGAATAAAAAAATAACTTACATTGTAAGCACCATGATCAAAATTTGGTATTGCTTTGTTGGTATTTTTTCTTGAATTTCATCTTCATCTCTTCTATTAATATTAAATAAAAGTAATTAATTTCGGAACTTTTTTTTTAATGTTGGGATTTTGGTCAGAACAGCCGTTTTGAATAAGAACGGACAAGCTGGTCACAACGACTACGCCGCCGCCCCGGCGGTGATGTCTTCAGCAAGGCGCGCCTACGCTAATGAAGCAAAGACAGTCAAGCCAGTTACAATAAAAACCTTTTGCCTCCCCCAAATCTTACTATTCTAAAAAAAAAAACAAGTCCGGAGCCATCATCTCAACAATAAACATTAAAAAAGAATTTTTATAATATCAATTTATAAAAAAAATGGTTTAATTCGAATCAAACAAATCCTTTTTTTTTTTAATTCGTTCGAAGCCTTACTCTCATGCAAAGTGTTCAGCGGTACATCATGTCAAAAAAAGTATGCCAAAAGAATGTTGACATTTATGATTGAAGAATTCCTCAGGAGACAATCAAAAATATTATTATGTTGATGAAATGGAGATGGTGATATAATTTATTGTAAAATAAGATTAATTATTTTGATTATTTTATTTTTTATCAATTATTTGAAAAACTTCTAATTCATCAAATCTACTATTATTTGCTATATTAATGTTATCATAATAGGATATGCTTATATTAATACTACCACCTGGAAGAAAATAAATATCACAACCACCAAAAACAGGCAAATGAGAGTTGCCACATTGAATTGCATACTGATTATCTTTAGCATAGCTAAATTGTGCAGTATCAATATTATTTCTATTACTTATATTAAATATAAAACTTTCAGTTGTTGCTTTATAACCATTTCCACCCCAATTAAGTGGATTATAACCACCAACTATTTGCTCTGAATTTTGTATTTTGCCAACTACAAGAGTTTTGTTGACATTGTCACATTTTTGATAAAATGTAGTTGCATTTAAACCATCTCTACTACTGCGATATAAAAGTTTAAATTCATATTTAACTTCTCTGTGTGATTTAAATGGTGGACTTTTCCTATCTATCTGACTTGCAAAAAGTAAAGTAAGCTTTTCATTAATTGTTGTTGATTCAAGCATTGGAATAAATTTTATGCTTCTTGATGGTAATAAGTTTAATGCTTGTTGTCTATCAGGAACTAAATAATATTGTAATATGTTCTTCCAGAGAAACTCTGTAAAAAGTTTCTGTTAGGGTAGAATTTCATCAAAAAATCATCTTTAGAAATATCCTGAAATCTTATTAGAGAAATAAATTCCTTTATTGTGTTGCCTAAATCAACAAAATTTTGTGATGACCAATTGTTAAGATCATTATTATTGATTTCTGGATGTCTTTATAATCCCCATTTAAGAACATTTTCCCAAATAATTATCTCATTAACAGAAAAATCATTTCTTGAGAATTTCCAATAATTCAAATTCACTTGACTGAAATGGGGAGTGCTGCAACAAAACCAGACAAAGTGAACATTAAGTCAAATTTTCAGAAATCAGGATTCTAGTAAATCAACATCACAATTGTACTATATATATTTATTATTATTATTATCAATATTGCAAATTATGTTTTTTAAAAAATAATATAAAAAATTATGTATATATATTATTAATCAAAAGCGTTTAATATTTGTACTAAATTTGGATTACTTGGTTTCTCTTAATAAGAGATTATGCTGATTATTTGCACTGTTTTTGTCTTCCAAATAACAATTACAAACATAGCAAAATGTATTAATCATCATAGACTGGAAAAGAAAATAAATAGAAAGTCAATTGATAAAGAAACATGTAAAAATAAAAAGATCCAAAATAAAAAATAATACATGATATGTACTCGTGAAGTGTTCATTATATCTAAACCTTGTTGAAGGACACTTATTTCATTGATTGCTGCAGGTAAATTGGTTTTTGCCATTTCATAAAATATATAAAATCCATCATATTTAATATAGAACAAATACCAACGAACTTCATAGCCTAATATATGGACTCCAAGTAATTTTATTCATGATATATCAGATGGTTTCAATTTAGTAATGATATCATCTATTGAATCTTTTAAAAATCTGCCAATTCTTACAAAATCAACTGTAGTCTTAAGTTTGCAATTCACCTTGAGGGGGTTGCTGATTTCTCCAAATAATATTTCTGTTTTAGTAAGTTCATCGGGTCTGGGACACTTTACCGACAACACGCGGGGTTACATTTAATCTCTACATAATCAAACAAACTACAAAATGCTAAAATATCACGTCGCGTGTTGTCGGTAAAGTGGGTGTCGGTAAAGTGTCCGGGTCCGAGTTCATCAACTACTCTCATGTCAGGTTGCAATCCAATGCACCATGTTGTTTTTTAGAAGATTTAGAAGAACCATTTGACCTATTATTAAAAATTAGTGCTGGTATTGGTTTTTATCAATTGAAAAAATATCATGGCAAAACATACCAATATAGATAATGATCATTCACATCATGGAACAATGGCCTGAAAATCAGGCCTAAATCATTATTGGTAAAAGTGTCTTCCACTAAATTCTTTTTTTTATTTGGTAAATTTTCAATTCTAAATAGATAAATATATAAGAAAATAGTCACTATTAGTACACAATATAGCATTAGTAATAGTATCATACCTGTCACTATAAATACAATAAATATGTTTGGAAATTGGTTCATGATATGAATCTAGACTTGTCTTGGCAGCACCTTGTGATATAAATATTTTCTAGTAATTTAAATAGCAAAAATATTGAATTTTACCCTAACACTATTAGATATTGCATTGAACATATAATCTTCTAATATATCAATTTCTATTTCTTTTTTAACCTTGGTCTTCAAGGTATTGATTTTTTCAGTACCAAACACCTAGAGTAATGAACGTGATGGTTGATCCCTTAATACTAAAATTGAAGATAATGCTCTACATTTCCATCAAGTAATAAATAAATAATAATTCAAAAAAAATACCAGCAAATTTTTTTACTATATAAAAAATTGAGCACTTACAATATTTCATCATGATCAACTTTAACTTCAAGTCCTTCTGATTTAGCCTTGTCATATGTATTTATTTGATATTTTCTCAACAGATCAGAAAAATTCATATTATTGATGACACACTACAAAAGAAAATAAATACAGTATATATGAAAAGAACCCTTCTTATTCAATGAAATATTATCAAACAATCATACCTCAGGTCCGCTCTTGTGCACAAAATTCTTTGCAAATTCTTTATCCTCAATCCAAATTTTTTTCAATTCAACTTGTTCTGATAATTCTTCTTCTGTGATCAGTTCCTCTTCTATATAATCAAGATCATCATCATCTGTATCATAATCTTTTGGAGTATTTGTATCATTTGATAATGCTGTTTCTGTTTCTGTTTCAGTTTCTGTTTGTGATCTATAAGCAAATACAATTGATTAACCAACAAGAATTATTAAATAACTAGGGCTTGAACTAACGAAATAACAACAATAACAGTTATAACAATACTTACAATGAGGCTTCTGCCACATTATTTCTTTGTTTTTTTTTTGTATACTGTAAGAATTCTTGTCTGTAACATATTTTTGCTTTCCCCATGTCAACTCTGGTGATGTTTCTTCTTTGATGTTCGGTTGTTCATGATTTTCATAAACTCGTTTTTGCCCAACATTACCAATACAACCAATTTGTACTCCTTCACAACTTAAAAATGTACTGTTAACCTTCAACTTTTCATATTCCATAAGATTGTGACATTTTAACCAAAAATTGTCAATGAATCCCGTTTTCCTAGATTCAGTCTTAGAAAAATTTTTTAAAGGTTATTCAGAAACTGCAACTGCAATTTAGCAGGTCACAAATTAGTAAGTCACAAGCTGGCCACAGCAGAGGTGGAGTCCATAACCATGCGAAGATGTAGTTCCATGGGTAAATTGACTACCACTTGTGTGATTGATTTCAATCATTAACATTAAAGAAACTTCAGAATTATTGAAATTAATGGCATTACAAAAGTGGATTAAAATAATAAATTTTCAAAATAATTAATTATATAGATAATACTTAGCTTTTTTGTTGTTATCTAATCCTTTCCTAATATATGAATTCCTTTGTCTTCACATCCATCACGACGATTATTCAATACATTTGATATCATCATTGACATAACAAACAATTGTATCACCAAAGTAGTAATAACACCAAGGCCATGCATAAATGAAAATTTTAATAATGCATGTCTACCCAGATTTCTGGTATCAAAAAAAAAAAAAAAAAATCTTCCAATTATATGGTTCCTTAAAAAAAAATGAATAAATCTGATGATATTAATAATAGGTGTCAGATTTAATAAAACTTTCATATCACAAACATACAGTTGGTGCTCTTAACACGCCTCAAAACTTCTGTGGGATATTTTTCCACAGGTGAAGGTCCCCAAATGTTGGAAGGCTTTTTTCAAGATGGGCAAAAGTTCCCTTTATCTTCTCCTCAAACCAGGTTTGGTTTCTGCCATTATAGCCTTGAGCAGGCTGCTGGGTTGCAGTTTGTTGGTATATCTCCTACACATTCAAAAAAATAAATTAATTAACCAAGTAAAATTCATCAAAAACAGAGAATTTGGAAGATGATCAAATTTACATGAGCATACCCAACAAAACTGTACTATTTTTGGCCTTCTAAAAGTAATACTAGCTTAGGTGCAGTGAGGAAAGATCAGGGATTCATCTGAGCATATTTGACAATAATGCAATCTTGATAAACTTCAGGGCAACGCCTCCCCTCCCTGTAATTCAATTGCATCATCATATTATCAGGGGAGCAAGTCAATTTAGCCTTATGTACGTGAGGAAAGATGTGAATGATTGTAGTGTTTTAAATAAAGTGGTGCACTTGAACACTTGAGATTTACAATGATCAAATGTTATATATCGAAATGTATTTTCAAATCGTTCAGGTGCTATTTTTTTTCTATATTCATGCTGCTTAATGTTACGAAAAGCAAAACGATACCAATCATTCGTTGTGGTAAGTAACCTTGATTTCAACCACAATCATAGATATCTGGTTGTTAACAAACAGCGCAATTCCTCCTTCATTAGAGTACCATGCCAAATAGTATTTATGTTACTGATGGATGAACGCTTGTCTTCATTTATATATAAAAAAAATTTTTAAATTCGCGTATTCTGGGGAAAAAAAATAGGGGTATAAATAAAATTACATCACGCTTTTTGTCTGATTAATTATAAAAAAAAAATGTCGAAATCGATAAAGAAAAAAAATCAAAAACGAATTCTAATAGGTGCACCCAACAAGTAAGTACCTGTTTGAGGGTTGTTGCTTTTTGTGAGTGCTATTAAACAAAGGATAGACTGCAATTCATATGTCATCATTGCTTTTAATTCATTACTAGTGAGATTTCTTCTTCACGATCATCATCATCTATTGTAAGTAAATTGCATTCTCTTCAAATGAATATCCTATTTTTATTTTAATGAATTCAATTTTGATAATATTGTAATAGATTGATGACGATGAAATAATAAATATTAAAAGTCTCGTTCAAAAGATCTTAATCTACAGTGGAAGGCCATTAAAGCCACTGGAACCATATAAAATACGTGAGAATTTAAATGAAATTCACATAAAAGAAAGTGGTGATGATGGTGGTGATGATGATAATAAAAAAAAAAGAAGAAGAGGAAAATGAAGAATCTGTTGCAATGCAGGTGGTGATCAAGAAGTTAGAAAACATTGATTACAATGAAGAAGAAGAAGGTCCACTTAATGATGATGGCGAAGAAGATGATGATGAGGAAGGGAGGAGAAACAGAATGAAGAATCTGTTGTGATGCAAGTGGTAGTTGAGGAGTTAGAAAATGTTGATTATGATGAGGAAAGTTTAGTAGAATGGGATGGTCCAGCTTTACATGGGTCTAGGAACTGGACTAGTGAAGAAATAACAATCCTTTTAAAATATATTTTTAAAAAGAGGTTAAACTGTGCTGAGCTCCAAGAGTTAGGCCTGTTACGGAAGAATCGGGCAATTTCAAAGAAATGAAGCTCAATGAAACATGAAATTAAAAAATTATTTGTTGTTGATTTTTCGAACCACTCTTTTTTTAAGTAATCTTTTCTTTCCCTAGATAAGTTTCGAGTGCTTGAGGGTCACTTAATTTGAAAACGTAAGGAGCAATTTTCTCACCTTGTTCTTTCTTTGAGATACTTCTGATAATACTATAATTCTTGATCATATTATATTGGTAATAAAATTGTGATGTTAAAAACAATATTGATCCCTGAAATTCTTGGTAATACTAATGTTCACTTTGGTTTTGTTACAGCATGCCCCATATGATGGATGCATGTGCATGAAATTCTTTTATGTTTGGTTCCACACCCACATATATTTTTACATCATAAAAATCTTCTGTATTTAATAATCTTTCATTTTCATTAAAATATTTTTCTGAAATTGTTGGGTCCATTTTTGTTTTTTCTTGAGAAATAAAAATGAAAATGTAAATGATTATTACAATATCCCCCCAAAAATTATAGTCATCATCATTTAAAAAAAAAGGGTGCAATTGCAATGTATTTATGAAATAAAAAAATCATGTTTGTTTAGAAGATAAAAATAGTCGGATGATAGGCTTGTTTAAAATCTTCAATGTTTATATATGTTATTAGATTGTCTTTTGACTTTTAAACTTATGGTTGATGTAAAATTAAAAAAAAAATGTTGATGAATTGAAAAAAAATTCCTTGGGAACAGTCAAGTAAAAATAGCTTTTTTTATTTTTTATGATAAACTTACAACAATTAAATTGAGGAATAATTATTTTGCTTAATAGACAAGATGATATAAATAAATCACATTCCTTCCAAATGGGAGCTTCATTTTTGGTTTTCTCTTTGAATGGGTAAGACTGTGTCTGGTATTAATTCAATTTCCGACAAGCCTGGGTTAATTAATTAATTTATACGCATATTTTTGTGTTGAGATTAAAATCTTTGCCTCTTTGCCTCTTTGTACTTTGATACCTTAACAAGTGATAGTGTTGACGGTAGTAATGATGACGATGATAATGGCGTTACAATCTTGACAAGAGTAAGAAATTTCCAATATAAATCACAATAATGGCCTTAGATTATTTAAATCATTATGAAATTTGTCAAGTCGAATTGGTATGTAAATATATTGGTGACCAGTGGATTAACGAAAACCGATAAATAGACTTGAAGGCCATGATGTATTGATTACAGGTTCCATAGATCAAACAGTTCGTGTATGGAATCTGCCAGTAATTTATTAAAATACGTTGTTAAATAGAATTTTCTTTTAATAATTGTGTTCCATATTTGACTACTTTTGGTTCTTGTCTTTGCCCTTTTCTGGTATATATTAATATAGGTCATGTCAGTGACAAACAATGAAGCACTTTCATCTTTTGATCTAAATTTTATTTTTTAAACTTTCAGATTTTAAAAGTATTTTTTTCAAAAAAGAAAAGAACCTATACTTAAAATGTGGTAAAAATTTTGCCTTAATAATAAATGATACATGATCTATCCAAGGGTTTACTAACAAGCAAGCAGGGTTATTAATTAAATGTTTACTGTATATATGAGCTACATACAACTTTAGGAGATTTAAGTTTAAAGATAAACCATTCTATTTTATTAAGCGTGACTGTGAGCATTTATTTTATCGTTAAAATAATGCGAGTTCCAACGTTTATTTAGAGGGCCACTAACTTATGCTATTGCGAGTTCAATTTTGAGTGGTTTAGTGATCCATAATCTGTCTATTCTGTGGCCAACACACTCTCTCTTTATCACCCTTTCTGATATCAAAATACTTTGCAGATGCAAATAACATTTTTTCACCACTTGATATTTTTATTTTATTTTCCATTGATACAATGATCTTTTAAAAGAAAAGCCAAAGTTCTGACAATATATATTACAAAAAGACACCTAAATCTTCAAATTTGTTCTGGAATAAACTGATGCTCTCTCTATAACTTATGTGTACTTTATGAGGTCATTGTCACGTTTGAAAGATTTACCCTATAAAAAGTAAGTTAAGCATGTAAAATAAGCTTCTTTCATGTCTCTTTATCATCGTCATCGCGTGTTTTTAAGTCAGCAACCTAAAATAGAATGCTTGTTGATAGAAAGGTTTTAAGATAAAAAATCGACTTTACATTTCTTAACATATATATATATACCTTTACCATATCAACGATTAAATCTTTAACGGTCACCAGACATTGCTTCAAGTGCCACCACACACATATCATTATTTTCATAATAATGTAATAAAGACAAACTTTATGATTGAAGCAAAGTAAAACTGCACCGTCAAAACTTTCTAATGAATATCTCTATGTAAATCTATGGTTATTCAAAAATGATATTATATTTTTTATTTCAAAGCAAGATTTTCTTTTCAATTTTATTATGAATGCTTTGAAAATTGGGTGAGAAGATGTAAAATAAATAATATGAGTATCACTTTATGTGGAGTGTACGTTATTGAAAAAAACACAATAAAATTCAATTATTTACATAAATGCATGAAGGTGACTAATGTTCTGCGACCGTTAATGCAGTTGTATTCTTTTGTTTTGTGGTGGATCTGACAATAATTTAACAAAGTCATTGTTATTGTAAAAAACTTTTTAGTTGATGTATTACTCGGCTGTTGTTAAATTCGCGTACGCGAAATTCAAATTAGCCAATCGGCCCCAAAAATATAGGACAATTCTACAGATAAACAGAAAACCATTATAGTTGATATCATCAAAGCCACCGAGGAATAGTAACTACTGCTTCTTCACACCTTCTTCGTCGTCGTCGTTGTTATTATTATTATTATCTGTTATTATCGACTTTGTCAGTATTTGTTCTTTTTAATCTCATCACCAAAGATATAAATTAATTAATCCAGGTGATATTCTTTCTGATAAACCTATCGAGAAACTTCTTTTGGCAATAATTGGTTTGTTTCTCGTGTAAGTTTTCTATGCCTTTTGAGTCTTGATGTTGCTTTCAATATTATTTCCACTCATTTTTTCGATTTAAATCCAAGAAAAAATGTATTTATTAATTTCATGTGGAACAAATTGAAGAGACTTAAAAACCCCAAACTAAATTTTATTAAATCTAACATTTAATCTTAGCAATCAGATTCAATAGAAATATTCTTCTCCTCCCATGCAAAGGGTCCAGCGCACGTTTGTATGTGAATCACGCCACACCAAGATGCCCACTATACACGGGATAGACTGTTAAAGGCTCTTCAAATACTTGTAGTCATTATGGATGTTCGTAATGTTTTACAAATATTTAAAATTTAAATTTATTGTCAATATTTTTTTTCTTTATTTGGCATAATCAAAAAAGCATTTGAAATAATTACAAATATTAATATTACGAATAAGAGTATTCGAAGCATTCATTCGAATAGGAGTAACTCTTACTATCATTTCAATTATGGTGTTGGTCCATTCATTTGATTGATTCGTCCCATGATTTATTTATTACATAACTTAAGGTGACATATTTCATTATTCCACCAAATAAACAAAATCAACCGAGAGGTCATGTTGAAGAAACTGCACTAAAGGGATTAAAATCTTTAAACATTTGAAACATCTGTTGAAGTTGCTAAACCACCAATCACATATAATTTATTTTGAAGAACTGCAATACTAGCTACATATCTGCTGCCTGTTGGTAAAAAATCCTTTATTTAGTTGTAAAAAAATCAGCAATAATAAATTACTATTATATAATAATTAAAAAAAAAGTTTTTTATGTATTGCAATTTTATTACCAATGCATTTTTTTATCTATTTAATAAAAGTTACCTCGGCTTTTGGACGATAAAGGTTTTTATCAAATCGATTTTATTTTTTTTTTATGCGACATATTTAATATATATGCATATTAATATATAGATCAAGTTCTAATTTTCTGATAGTTAAATTTCTATATGTCCATTGACATTATCTGAATCCTTGATTCCTCAAGTATTTCTTCAACATTATACGAGACTTCTCCTATTTTCCAGTTATATAATCAATCAATCAATCAATTCATTATATATTATTATATAAACCATACCATAGTATTTCCTATGATATTAGAAGATACCTCGTAATTCAGCTTGTCTCTTTAATTTTAAAATTTGATCTTTGTCATATTCTATAGCTGATAATTGACATTGTTTTATTGTTCCTACATTTTTATAAAAATCTTGTTACTACCATATATCTTTTGCTTTCAATAAAATAAATAAAATTCCAATTAACAGAAAAAGCTCAAACCTCCTATATGTAGAATTCGTAAAAGACAATTTTTAGATTTAACTTGTGTAATAAAAGTTAATGCACACCAAACCATATGATAATGATCTCGAGAAATTCTTAACACGCCAATATTTGTGTGTGATGAAAAATATTTTACTATGTATATTAAAAAAAAATAAAGCAAATTTTACTTTTTAACAAAAAAAAAAAAAAAACACCCCAAAGAACAAGTAACAAGCGGAGAAATATATATTGTATTGACAATACCACTGATTGAAACAGACACGCAACCAGTTCCATAGTCACCAAAATTATTCTGAATAGATTCCTTCACTACATTATAAATATCTTTAGAGGATATTCCTTCTGAGACTGTTTGAGAGGAATAAGGTGAGGTAATGGTTTGTTGTTGGAGTGAGTCTTCAAAAATTAATTCAAAAAGAAGCCATCGGTTTTTTAACCTGACCATTATTATTATTATTAACAAAATAACCATCAAGTGAATACAAGGAAGTTAAATTTTGAGAAAATCACGTGAAAGTCACATGTTAATAAAATCGGTGAATTTCCTCAATTAAAATTTTTAAACATAAATCCACATGATATATTTTGGGGTAAAAATTCCTCTCTTTTTTTTTTATAGGGAGTCATTATAGCCAATGGTTATATAACCAGTTACTTAAAACAATAACGTTTTGTTACTATCGAAGGCAAAAATCTGGTACCAGTTATATAACCACTGGCTACTCCCTTTTTATATACTTATCAAGAAGAAAACATAACTAAATCATATGTGTATAGATTGTGTGTTAAAGATGATCAACCCGTGAATATATCTGCTAATATTTATCTTTATATAGTCAAATTAACGATGGTATGTTGCGGTAGGGAGAGATTCAGTATGTTATAACTCTTGCAGAACGTATGGTATGGTATGGTATAGCCCATATTTTTCCATACCAAGTCACACAAAATTTTATTCTAAATCCTTTTTTGGTGGGTGTGAAGGGAAGTATGTTAGATTTAAGCATTGGTATACAACCATTTTATTATACAATACCATACCATACGTTTTGCAAGAGTTATACCATACTGAATGTCCCTATACTCGGTATGTTGATAATTTTTTTTAAAAAAATAAATCAATTTGTCTTTTTAAAGGCTTCTTTAGGCAGTGATATGGTAAGCCCTGGACGTACCACTTTGTTTATTCAATATAACAATGGAAGTCATATCCCACTATGTCATTTAACTCCAGGGATTGTATGTATTTTTTCTTTTTAAAATCTTATATAATTAAAATTATAATGATAAATCTGAAGCCATTTTTATAAAGTGTGAACAACAAACATTAGATACTGCTTTCAGGGGTGAATCGCATTCTCACCGTCTATAAAAGAGGAAGAAAGTAATAAGTTCACTATTTTCTATTTATTACATTATTTTTTGCGCATAATGTTAAACACAATGTTTTTTTTTAAGTAGTGAAGTGCATTTGACTGGTTATTCACAAAGAAAATTATAGTCATTTCTTGATGACACAGAAACGAAACATCTTGTAATTTTTTTAAACCTTTGATGAAATTAATTTTAATTTTGAAATATACCTCGAATCTTTTACCTATTACTAATATAATCTTTTTATTAAGACTAAAAATTTTGGGTGGAAAAATATCACGTGAAAAATCACAGTTAAAATGTCACGCCCCATATTAATATAATAAAGTTTGACATGATTTTAAATTTACTCTTTTTTCTTTACATAATAATTAATCAATTTATAAAATAATCAAAGTATGAATGTAAATAACGGATTTTGGGGTAAAAGTCCTTTTTTTATAGAGGCACTATTCATAACCGTTTACTTCAAATAGAAAAAAAAAATACTCGCTTAAATTTTTTATAATGTTATTAGCAAAAAAAACTGATAATCAACTATGACTCCATTTTTATATTATAATCAAAAGAAAAAATAATATTGATATATAATCTTTATTAAATCGTATATGTATGTATAGATCTTGTATTAGAAAATGATCAACCTCAATAAATCTTTTTTATAATTATGAAGTCAAATTAATGATGGTATGTTGTGTTGATCTGTTTTTTCTCTAATAAATAAATTTTTTAAAAAATAAATCAATTTGTCTTTTTAAAGGCTTCGTTAGGCAGTGATATGGTAAGTCCCGGACGTACTACTTTGTTTATTCAATATAACAATGGAAGACATATCCCACTATGTCATTTAACTCCAGGGATTGTATGTGTTTTTTCTTTTTAAAATTTTATATAATTAAAAGTTATAATGATAATCTGAAGTCATTTTTTATAAAGTGTGAACAACAATCGTTGAATACTACTCTTTTTAAAAGTACTACTCAGAAATATAGCTTCACTGTCACTTTCTATAAAAGAGGAAGAAAGTAATTAATATTTTTTTATTTGTTACATTATTATTTTTTGCAGATAATGTTAATATACACAATTTTCTTTACACTTGATATTAAATAGTACGGTGCACCTGACCAGTCATTCAAGACAATACAAGTAATACCCATGTTGTAATTTTAAAAATCCTGATCAAATTAAATACATGTATACACTGTATATTTCGCTTGTGAAAATATATGCCTCGAATCTTTACATTTAATTTTTTATTTTATCTTTTTTTTCCTTCTATATTTGTTGAATTAGTTTTTCTTTGATATTTATAACCTAAAAAACTAATTTAAAGTAAAATAACCAAAACAATAATGATCAATTTCAGTAATTACAATTTTAAAACCCCCATTAAAGTTGTAGTATAAACCTTTTGCACCTATACTCCGAATATGGTTTCTAATGAGATATATATAGAAATGTTCTTAATAACTTTATTTTAAAACCGATTTGACATCGGTTTTAAATCTGGCGGCTGATAAATATAAAACACACGGACAATCTTTTTTATATATTTGCTGATCAATTTCCTCGGATATCACGGCCCACTCTATAAAAATTTCAGGGATCTCTTCCAATGATAGATACATTATTTAGTTTAATTTTATTTCTATAAATATATATATATTTAAATACATTACACAATTTTTAGATATGATATCTTTTATTTTTTGCCATACATTCTATCAATATCAGCTTGATATTTTTGCAGAAGATCTTTGCGTTTAATTTTTTGTGCTGCCGTCAAAAGTCCCTATTTAAAAAAAAAATAAAAGCACAATAATATAAATATAACAAACAATTAATAACATTAACAATAATATGATTATGATATTTTTTTCTTAAATTACAAAAATTCTGCAGGTTTGAAATCTGCTTTCTTTGCCTTATCAAGACAAGCTTGAAGTACCTAATTGGTTATTTCTTGATTCCGGCATAACTCTTCAAAATCTGTTTCAACTATGTTTTTTTCTGTTGCAAGTTTTCTGATTTGTGCTACAATAGGAAAAATTAAAGCTACAGGGCGTGACTGATACGAGTTGGCACAAACACAAATATTAAATACAAATAAGGTTGATTTGTAAACTGATTCCAATTTTTCAAGTGCAATGTATTCACCATGAGCTAATTTCACTAAATTTTTCTTTCTGTCAATAATTGGTAGGCTTCCATTTGGTTTCCATTCTCCAATATCTCCTGTTTGTAGCCATCCATCTTCTGTAAATGTTTCTTTTCATTTTATAATAGCCTCGTGTAACCACGGGTCCACGGATCCAAACTTCTCCTTGTGGATTAGGAGTATTTGTAGATTTATAACCAGCATCTGGTACGGCAACTAATTTTACTTCTATACAAGGTGCTGGTGTTCCAACACTGCCATAAGTAAATTGCTCTGACATAAGAATTGTAGTCGTACTAAAAACAACACAATATAGAATTATTAATCAGAATTAATAATGATAATATTATTATTATTATTGATTAATTAATTAAATAACTGATTAAACTTACCCACAAGATTCGGTCATACCATAACCTTGCAATATTGGACATAAAGTTATATATAAAAATTCCTGTGTTTCCTTAGAAATGGGTGACAACACGAATCTCAATCTTCCATCAGTTTGTTCTTTTATCTTATTGAATACCAAGACGTCAAAAGGTCTAGTGGGTAATCCTTTATCCATTAACCAACCTTTAGTGTGAAAGCTATATCAAAAATTTTTTGTAAAGTTGGACTGCCTGCATGAATTTTCGAAAGAACGCCTTTCCTAATCTATTCCCACACTGCTGGTACACCAGTCATAAACTAGGTTTCAATTCACGGATGTCACCAAGACAATTTCTTGCTGATGCATCTGTCAAAGTATGAATTGTTCCATAACACCCCACCAAATACATACATGTTCCACAACGAATTCAAGAACATGAGCAAGTGGAAGGTATGCAACAAGTGAATCATCATTTTGAACTAACTAAATATGAGAGGATTAATAGAATAAGAAAATATATCAATTTTTTTAAAAAAAAAAATCAAAAAAAAGAACATACTTGCTTGCAACGAGATTAGCATGAGTTAGCATGACACCTTTTGGATTACCAGTAAATCCAGAAGTGTATATAATACAACATATATCTTGTGGTTGTGGTGAATTTGGATTTATTGAATGATCTTTGCCTAACTCTTTAAGTTCTTTCAATGTTAAGAGTCTAAAATCTGGATGAACATTTGCAAGATTGTCCCCTTTGCATCACCATTATAAATTATAAATTTAAGAGTTGGGCTCCTTCCAGCAACCTTTTCAACCATTAGAAGTAAATCTGCGTTAGCAAACATTCCATTAACTTCTGCTTCGTTCATTGAATGAAGAAGACCTTCTTCTTCAAGGGTGTCATATGCAGTCACAATAGTCATACTTTGTGAAAAACTACCTGTAGATTAAAATGGTTTCATAGGATTAATACTTTATTACACATATATATATTATTTATAATTTACAAATATTAGCAATATTTACCATGAGTTACAAGCATCCAATTGGCACTAATATATATATTAATAATAATAAGAAATTTAGTGTCATATATAATATAAATGTGTATATATATATATATAATAATAAAATAAACAAAATTTTTCATTACCTTGTAGAAGCAAAGATTGTAATTTTAGATCCTTTATTTAAACCGATTTTATCAGACCGGCTCCAATAGTTCTAATTTCTTGATCTATATCATTATTATTATAAGTCAACCAATTGTAACCGGATAATTGAAAATACTTCCAAGTTTTCAATTCTTTTTTTTCAACTACAACAATTTTTGTGATTTCTTTTTCAACTATATTTTCAATTTTTCTATAACCAAAAGCATTCTTCCTATCACCATATTTTTTAACACATCATAAAGAGTTTCAACACCTTCTTCGGGTGAGTCAATCAATTTATCAGGACTTAAGTGAGAACGACAAATGCGACTTTCACCTTCAACCTTAGTACCAATTTCAACGCTCATATTTTTAAAGGTTTGGTTATTATTTATTATTCAATAAAGAAATAAATTTAAACACGAATCCAAAATACAAATAAATCATATAATGAAATGTGGTTATCACACTATTCAAATTAGCCAATCAAAATTTTTCAATTCACATACAACATTTTATATAAGCTATTTTAATTTTGCAACAATAAAATAACGTTTATGATGGCATTCACTTAGTTGCTTGGGGCTTATCCGATTTTGTTGAATTTTTTTTTCTAATTTTTGAGTTTTCATTTTGTTTTCTTTTTCAGTTAACTCTTATCCTATAAAAAATTTTGTCAGGACATTTTCTGAAAATTCCATACATATTCCATGTATTTTCCATACATTTTCGGCGTATTTTCAGAAAATCATGTATTTTTCCGCAAAAATTGTCCGCAAATTTGCGCAGCATCATGAAAATATCCAATTTTATTGGTGTGTTGGGTGCGTGTTATCCTTATTTAGAAATTGATTTGATTATTATTTTCAGGGCAAAATATATACGGAAAAACGCTCTTTTAATATAATTCCATATCTTTTCTGACAAAAATTTTTATAGGGCTAATACCAAAATTAATTCGTTAATAACCTATTCATTCTGATCCACACAAATACAAAAATAATTGTTATTCACCCATTGAAATACACTCTCCCAAATTTAATCAGTGACAATATTAATTATTAATTTATTGAATATATAATAATTATTATTTCTTTTGAAAGATTTTTGTATACATGTAAGATTGAGTTAGGCAAGTTTACTGGAGCTGATGTATTAGAAATATTAATTGCAGCTGATGAGCTTGACCTTGAGTTACTTTATGAATATACAATGAATTATTTTATTAAAAAACATGAAGATTATATAAAAGAAAATCCAGTCAAAATTTTACAATTGATTTATTCTAATGAAAAATTTAAGGAATTGAA